TTTTATTTAAATATTTTAGCATTTTAAAAAAGTAAATCAGAGCTAAAAAAAGTGCAAAAACGCAGGCAAATTTGCCTACGTTGGTCTACATATTAAGGGATATTATTATAGATAACTAGCTTTCTCTATGTTATAAATAATTATCCCAACACAACAAACAAATATTGCAGTAAATAAAAACAGAGATCCTGTGATAAAAAAAACAATCTCAATCTATCTTGAAATGCACACTATTGGGTAGGTTTTGTTTTCTATTCTTTTTTAATTATTCTTCTTAGTTAAATATTAAGTGCTTCTCTTATTAATTTCTCACAATTCATCTAATAAAAATTAATATTCATGTCCTCGAAATCACATGGTAAGTGTACTATCGTCTTTTTTTTTAATTTTAACAAGTATAACTGTTGCGCTGAGAAACACACCACTTTATAACTTTACTTTATAGCTTATAGAGCTTTTAAATCTAAGTTGAAATTCGTGATTGAGATGAAAATAAAGATATTAACAGAATATATCATTGATGGTGATAAAAGTAAATGGGAGCTTTGCAATATTATTAACAAGATCTTAATTTATGTAGATATGACGGATTATTATTGTAATGGTAAATAGTCTGTTTTAAATAATTTTATATTTGGTATTTGAAAGCGGGTATAATACTAGATATACCTGAAATATTAAATTTAGATATAGATCTATTTTCCAAATTGGATATAAGCATTGTTTCTATATTTGTATCCCGATATCGATATTAATTGTGGTTTAGAATTAACGAAAATAACAAAAAAAAGAATCGTTATTCGGTCACATTTTAGTTATTTTCTGCAAACTTACGTACATGCACTTCATCTACGATCTTGCATAATTATTTGATAGACTTGATTATTAATTTCTTCAGGTTAAAAAAGTTAAAAAGCACATACTTATTGCATTTGATACATATACTTGATATGATATGAATGTATAAATATACTCATTAATTATGAAAATAATCACATTTATATATTGATATTTTTGGGTTTTAGCTTTAAATGCAAATTTATTTCTTCTACAGTGTGATAAATTAACGAGAGAAAATAAATGTTATATAAGGAGCAATAGTAAATAGTTTTATTCTAATATCAAAAAGAGTCTAATAGCCAGATTTTATAATTATCGCTGACATCATAATTATTTAAACAATAGTATAATTTGTTAATGTATCCTTAAAGTTTATTAATTAGTTAATGAGGTTTAGTAAACTCTTACATATTTTTAATCATTATTTTTCATATAAATTTGCTTTTAATCTTGTCATAATCTTTTTACTTTATATTTCACAATGTTTCAAAGTCATTACATCTCTTTTAACCCTTGTAAAAGTTATACAAGACGATGACGTCATGTATTTAATACACCTTCATATAATATACTAAATAACTATGATGGTATGGCAGGAGAGAAAAATTTGGACAATGGTATGTTGAGTGAAGAGAATTTGGACGACAATATTTTGAGTGAAGAGAATTCTGATGATTATATGTTGAGTGAAGAAAATTTAGACGATGATATATTGTGTGAAGAAAATTTGGATGATGATATGTTGAGTAGTGAAAGTTCTGATAAAGATGTGTTGAGTGAAGAAAATTTGGACGATGATATGTTGAGTAATGAGAGTTCCGATGTGATGAAGATGTGTTGAGTGAAGAAAATTGGGACGATAATATGTTGATTGAAGAAAATTCCGAAGAAAGTTTTGATATTGGTATATTAAATGAAGTTGATGATATATTGAGAGAAAGTAATAGTGTGTTTGACAAAGATGGTTCTGATAGAAAAATTGTTGATAAACCATTAAATGCTGAAAAAATGCCATCTATTAACGGAGAATTTGCTCCGTACTTCAAAAACATTATAGAGGCATTAATAGTTTGTTGGATTAAGAAACATAATATTTGTAAGTTAAAATAATTTTGTCAATTACAAACGTTTAATTGTTATATTTTTTTTATTTTATATTTTTTTTAATATTAGCTACCTGAGTATATGATGAATTAGTGGACATTATCTATCATCCAAAATTTAAAAACACAGATATTGTAAGAAACATTAGACGATTTAGGAAGTATAGACAGAGATTGCCCTTACTTCTAATTAAATCACATTGAATTGATATTTCCAGTAAAAAAACGCCATCTATATCAAAGAAATTAAAAAAGAATATTATTTTTCTATTTCAGATATCATTTGGCATATACTTAACAATCTATCACTATTCAATAAAATGTACTTTGGTCCAGGCCAAGAAGTTGCAAAAAACTATGAACTCTGGTATAGTAAAATTTGGAAAGAGTCGCCAAAATTTGGATGTAAGTCTGTTACTATAGGCAAAGGTGACTTTTTTTATATTTTAACTTTTAATTTTTATTTTTTAATATCGCTATAAAGTAATATATTCTATTTTATAGTAAATATTATCCTGGAGACTTTGTAGTTTATAGAGAATCTACAAAAAGGATTGGCTGTATTTTGTCAATAGTTCAAAAAGATGGTAGTATTAAGATCAATATCCAACGTGCTCTGACATTTGAAGAGCTGCCGATAAATCTGCAAAGTAATAATCATAAAGAAAGATCATTGAACAGTGAGGTATAGATGCTAGATCAAGGAGTGGATAATGCAATTATTATTATCGAATTGCAAGCAATTGTCAAACATATTATTATTACAATATTGTATGATAGCGATATAAATAACTTTACTTCTATCGTAATCTGTGAAATACTATATAAGCACAATAATAAATGGAAATTGAGAAATGTAACTTATTTTTATCAGCATCCTTCAAATTTTGCTACCTTAAAAGAATATAATACGAATCTACCAATTTATAAAATATATATAGATATTTACTACGACGATTTTGGAACATTTTGCAATATTTACTATTTGTTAGATGAAGTCTATGTTCAGATAGGAAACATGTCCTTTGATCAAAGAAAACAACTTAAGAACTATTTTGTACTTGGATTTGTACCATTTGGTGGTTCCTTTAATGAATTCATTAAACCTTTCGTTGCTGAGATGAACCATTTTGAAGAGGGAAAGATAATAGATGTGCAAGGTAATAAAAGTCTTGTAATTGCAAGTATTGGAGATATAATCTCTGACTTGCCACAGGGCAATGATTTAGTTGGAGTTAAAAGACATAATGCTATAAGAGGCTGTCGTACTTGTAGTACGAAAAAAATTACTGGATGTCTGATAATATTGATTTGTTGATAAGCTCTCATTATCAACATTTAACGGCTAAACAATTTGAGAAGATTTCTTCAGCATCAACAATAACTAAACACAAAGAAATCTCTGCACGATATGGATTGCATCTGTATCCTCCGATACTAAGTAAATTGCTATGGGAAAGCCATCTTCAATCACCACATGATGTATATCATGTAACAACTGGCAAAGTGTTGAGGCTTCTTAAAATAACAGTCAATGCACTTTTGGCAGAAGGACAATTAGCATTTATTACAATTTGGAAATTATTTGAGTATCCAAAAAATTAGTTGAAAATGCCAAATCTAGTTTCACATATTGATAGTTTTATGATGTCCAATTGTTTAAAATTGGCTATGGTGTTTCCTTTTATTATTAATAGATTATTAAGATCTCAATATTTTAAACAGTCTGAACTTTACAAATTACAACAATAACTAGATTTTCACGTAATGATTTGGTCATAAAAGCCTGGCTAAAGTGTTGGATAATAGTGTCGAAGACAACAAGGATCTTATTTAGGAAGTATTTTTTAAAGGAAAATTATAATAAATTGCAACAATGCTTAAACAATGAACGGAACATCTTGGTGCAGGTATTATTTTTTAACTTATTGAAATTTATATATACATAGTAACACAAATTTAATGAACCCTTAAAGTGCTGCATTGTTCATTATTCAAATATAGCAAACAATGAGATGGTTAATGAGAATTTAATAAATAAATTTCTCAACTTTTGGCGTCGAATACATATACGTAATGCAGTTTTACATTTTTATGTATCATTATTTAAAATTAAATATATCACTATTTGCATAATTGTTAATCTGCATATTGTAAATTATATATTGATACGTATTAAATTAATTTATTAAAAATATATTTAATTAAATTATATTTCATCACCAATTATACTGCATCTTATCGATGCTTCTATGTATTTGGACAATTCAATTATTAATTGCTCAAAGATATTTATGAGTTTAACAACTCTCTATTATTAAAAGTTCCATCACTAGATTACCTACCACGTATGCGATTTGAGTGTTCATAGCTAAATTTGATTTTATTATTGGTATGTAATAGTTATTTGAAGACTTCGAAAATCTTCCAAATTTGCATGTCAATTTTCATATAACTCATGCTCAGAATTATGCAAATTTGTTGAATACTGACGTAAAAACAAAAGAAATGGTGCATCGAATATTCAAGAACATTGTTTCACAACAAATCGAAAGAATATAGACTTGGATCTATTAAAACATTATAGTATATTGTTTGCAATACGTCATTTATTCGATGGAGGCGTAGATATGCGTTTTCCATTATCAAGAAATAGATTAAACTTTTCACAACATTTATAGTGTTTAAAAAATAATTGGTTTGTATTTGAGAAACCCGATAACAATGAGAATAATGCAAATGAAGGTATGATTAGTTGTTTGAATAAAAATAATTTTTAACTCACTAATTGTTTTATAGTCTATTCATTAGATAAATATATTAAGATTTCATTAAAAAAGCGAATTCCACAAAAAAATATTGAGGAGTCAATACTTTCAGATTTAAAAGCGCAATTAGAATTATTCTATGAAGATTTAGGATATTCATTTGCAGCCTGGAATAATTTGTTGTCATTCTTTGAGTATGCAAATTTCCTGGTTGAAGAAAATGGTACCTTTATTCAATGCCGTTTACATATTGGAGACGTTGTTTCAATCAATTCTGATGAAGAAGATGAAAGTTTTTCAATTATACATTCAATATTTTGTGACCGAAAGGATGAACATAACATTACCTTCATTATTATTAATTGGTTTGAAAACACAAACCAAATGAAGTTAGGTTGCCTAGTATACAGGCTACATACAACAAATAAGTGGCGAAGAATTTTTCTAATTGGTGTAGTCAATGCAGTCAGTACGGTACATTTTGTACACAATTGTAAAAATGATGAATGTATTAAGGGCAATCATAATCTTGCTAATGATTTGTATCTAAGAAATTTGTATTTTTTTAAACCTATTTAACATTATACATACGTATATATAAATAAATATATATATATATACAATATATATATGTCCATGTGTATTCTAGAAAAATGTTCTCTCAATTTGTGGTACTACGCAGGAATTTTGCTAATAGTGTAATAACTTGGGTTCTAACATAACATATTTTAGGAATTATTTAAAGAGCTCCGGGCTAAGATTATATTTGTACTAACTGAATCAAACAGTTAGTTCAGTTAAATCGTTAAGCAGTTCAGATCCATAATTTTGAGTATAGTGAGAGAAAAAAATAGAACTGGGTTACTGTATAGCTTATTACAAAATTTGACCAAAACCTTCTTAATTATACTGTATGCCCTATATAATTTTTTTTTACCTCAAATGCAAACTTTTTTGTCTTCGCTACTAAATACAGCACTAGAAATAATCAACATATAGCTTATTACTGTTACATAGTATCAGTGCGATTTCAGACTATATGACCATATGATTAAATCACTACCTGCATCTAATTTTGTAATTCCGGCCATAAGTCACGTAAATAGTAGAGTACAGATAAAAATTAACAATTTAGATCAGAGTTAGTTGCAAATTTTACACTCTCACTCTTTTCTAGCTTCAACAATAAATTTACTAGAGTGAAACATATTTACATATTATTCTTTGAGGTATTGAGCTCAAAAGAATTGCTTTATAAAAATTTTGCACAACTTTTATGACCTTTATAATCTAGATGCAGAACATTGATATTCCTTCAAAAAAGCTTCTTAATTTTTGTTTCATTCTTCTAATACTTCTTGAAAAAATTAACAGAAATTAATGAGCTGTAGATTCTCTAGCAAGCGAATTTACTAAGGTTTTTCTTATCACTTGACACTTTGTACTCAAATTTTCTTAAAGGTTGAAATCAACATTGACATTTGACGTAACTTAATTATTGTTATATTTTCATACTACAGTAATTAGTGTTCTTGATTATATTACTGCAGATTTGATATAACACAACTTGGTATATTGAGCTGATCAAGCTATTAACTACTTTTTTTACAACTTAAACTTACTCTGTCGGATCTTTTCAATACGTTTATTATAGCAAGTTCAATAAAGAGCAAGTGATTATTTGGATCAAAAAAAAACAGGATTTTATGCAAGAATTCTTTCAATATGTATTAATGCTACTAATATTATTGCTATTAATATTAGTGTACTATTATATTATAGGTCTTCATAAAGACTCTAGTACTTTTGATACCAAAGATGTTGAAGTTGTTCATTTTTTCGAAATTTGTGTGAAATATAGATTATAATTCCTGATCTGGCCTAATTTCAATGCACTGATCACAATAATGGGCTTTCTTGAATGAAAAAATTAATCTATGAATAGTATTTAATTAGTTATGTATATTTATCAATCTTTTTTTTTTTTATAATTTAAATAACTATAATTACTTTACTAATCATTCTATTCACGATTTTATTATTTTAAGGCTTGTTAACTTTATCTCAATCTCATTGACTTATCTCTGTTATAATGTTGATCAAATTTAAGCAATTACTAATCTTGTTTAATGTGAAAGCTTGTTACTTTTACTCTCTGGTGTCAATCGACCAGAACAAGATCTACTTTGGCAAGATCTTGTAATTCTTTCGATTGAGCCTTCTTTTACACGGTCACGACATCTGTGTTCTTCTATTATCTTTCAAAAATTATGTAAAAGAGATGACATAGTGGTAGTAAGGCTTTGTCACAGGTTAAAGTTTCAATATGTTTATTACATATCTAAGTAAGCTTATATTTCTTTTGCATTTTCTTTGAACATATTACTAACCTAAAATATTTTTATTTTTAATTTTGATCAAGTTTATCTTTATTGTAAAATATCACTTCCTTTATAGATTATATTTATATTGAATCACTGTTTTTCAATTCTTTCTCTGTAAACATATCATTAAGTTTGCGAAATAAAACTATCAGGAATGAGACGTATTGTTATATGAAAAGTAAAATGATTTTTCACATTCCATTTTTTGTAATAATTTTATACAGTATCTTATTAATTATCTATAATGTTTTTGCAACGATTACTTAATAGAACCATGAAGATCCTCTAATTAATATGCAAGTAGGGTCAAGATTATATATAAGTAAAAATTGTGACATAGACGCATAATCATTTATCAGAATGACTAGAACTTTCTTAGATTTTCCTGTGACTCTATCTATTATTTATAGATTAACAGTTCTGGACCAGGATGACAATTTTCTGTATTTCACAGAATGTCGCGGGAGTTACAAATGACAGCCATTGGTGCCATTTTGGAAATTGGGTCTGTTTTTAAATCTAGCGATAATTAACATAGATAAGTATAATGTATTATTTAAATAATAGTGTTTGATTAAGCAAAGTGTTTATTAATTTTATCATTATTATTTATTTTTAGGGTCAATATATAATAAAAGACATTAAGGACTATATTATTAATCGTTATATTACTATTTCATCAACACCAGGAGAGTTATTTATTTAGCTTTTATCTCTTTGCTGGCTTGATACTCTTCTAGTGGTTACTGACTTTTTCTGTTTGTTAGTTGTTTAGTATTATAAATCGCCATATACAAGACCGTGTCTCTTATATTTTACTAATTTTAAAACTTATAATAGACACCGGGTCTAGTATGCAGCCGAGAGTTTATGTCACCAAGAGAAACCTTTGAAGAGTATGCACATTTGCATTTATAAAAAGTAATTTGGTTATTTGAAAAAACCCATGTTTGATTAATATATATTTCACATCTGGGTATACTACGTGGTAGATCTACTATCATGGAGAATCTTGTATGTGACGATTTATGGTAATCAATTTTGACAGAATAGTTGATTTGATTTCGAATTCTCATAGACAACGTGACTTACCGACCATGTTGGCATAGCAATGTATAATATTGAGACATCGAGTCAATTATATGGCTTTTATAAATACATATAATAATTTTATACTGGTAAAGTATAATTTGCTATTGTATTTCTTTAGTTAATTATGTTATATCATGCTTTAATAACTAATTTGTTGGTTTAAAATAACATGTCTGTATTTGAATTAGTTTATAGGTCAAATAAATGAGTTCGACAGGGCAGCCCCGATCTGTGGCTTGTGTATATAGAACAGCCAATCGAAAATTGAATCAACCTGAACTTCGGAGGGCTGCCCTGTTAAACTCCAATACAGATAATATTATTAACTTATACAATAATTATTGCAATTTATATTTAATAAATATTTCTAGATTTTAATGTGTTTTATATTATTTTTAGTAATTATTATGTTACTATTTTTTTACTAAGTATTTTAAATTTAAAATTAATTATTTTAAATTTTAGTATTAAATTTTATCTAAATAGTTGTAATATATAATATATATAGTAATAAAATTGGTATATGCTTTTTTAAAATATTTATTATCTAATTACAATTTTGGTATAATTTATTATATTTTAATAAAAAAAATAGTTACAAAATTTTAAAAAATTATTTATAAAATATTTTTAATTTTAATTATAAATAGTAATAATTTAGAAATAATATTGTAAATTTAAATTACAATTGTCTTAACACATAGCTACTGCATAGTAACAAATATATTACTATATTGTTTTTAAATTTTAACAAAATATTTAATATTATTATACTATTTAGCTAATAATTATTTACAATTTAGTTAAGATTTAATAAGTTTCTGTAAAGTAGTTTTGGCTTTAATTTTCATATAATGAATTTTAATTGAACTTTCCTATATCAAGAGTTTCTTATATCAAATTTTATTCATTATTAAATAAGAAATAGACATCACATTTATTATTACTATCTATGACAAGTTCTTTAAAAATTCGACAATTCAAGTTTATGCAATCTACACATCCAAAGAACTTAATCGTGATAAATACAGAGACTTCAACATTTATTTATAATATTTTTATACATTATACGTATACTCAAAAAGCATTATACAAAGCACTCAACTTAATAGATAATATTAAACTCCTTCGATATAGTGAATCCCTTATTAATTTTCAATTTGTTCAAGTCTAATTATGATAATAATTATTTCGCTTTATTTATACTGCATGTAAAACCATAGGCAATATAAAATAGTGGAAGCTTATTAATAAATATATTATACCATATATGTGACTTATAAACAATTCATTCATTAAAATTTTTTCAATTATTCATTCGTCATTCATTAATTTTTTTAGAAAACTATTGCATACTAATTATAAACGATGAATTATTGTTTTACTCATAGACGATTGCTATTTGTACACCATGTGTATGTACACACATATATTGATATCTCAAAATCCTAATTATATAATAGCTTTTGGGGTTCTAACAAAAAATATTCCTTACAAAATTTTAGTATAAACTATAACCTCATCTAACCCTAAAGCTACCCTCACCCTAACCTCAAGCTATACTAATTTTTCGTTTATAATTTATATGTTAAACAAATTCGTAAATCAAAAATTAATGTATATACACCTGGTGTAAATTAAGAAATTTTCTTACTCATAATACTAAATTTATTGAAACATTATTTTATTTATAAGCATATTAAAATATCACATTTAAATTTTATAACTAATGCTAATTTACTGTATTATGTTTATTATGTTTAAAAATTATATAAAAACTTCTAAAATTAGCAATAAACGATGATTTGTTCATCTCGTACTGCGTATCCTATCATAACGTATCCTTCCACTTCTTTTTTAATATTTTCATCTAAATTCGAATATTCCTCCAAACCCACACAATTCAAAGTTCTTTTTCGTTTGCAGAATTCGATTAGCGCTTTACAATGATTCTCGTTAACAAGGTGATAAATTAGCAGCTTTTTTAAAGGTGCATTGCAATAATTGAGAAAAGTATCAATAAATGAATTTAACCAATCACCTCTTAAGTAAATATAATGCAATGTTAATGGCAATATTTCTGTAAACTTCTTAACTCGAATTTTTAGTTCTTCATTTGGTATGTAAATATTACACAATAATGTGAGAAATTGAAGTTTTTGTAAATTGCCAATAAGCTCCAGGAGTTGTGTGGAAAATTCAATATTCGCAATGTCAAGATATGTAATATTTGGGCAGAATGACTTAAGTGCTTCTAGAAATATCGATTCATCCAAATTTACATCTATTGGATAATATTTAAATCGTTATAGTAGTATGCCTGACTTTTCTAAAATTGATGCTATAGTCGATGCATCAGCCCTACAATCCATAATCTCCAAAGTGGTGATGTTATAATTTAACTTTTTCAACGATTTCATATCGCAATTCCTGAAACGAAGAATTTCTAATTTTTTAAAATTTTTCAGTATCTCGAATTCTGCACTATAACTACAATGATCTAACATAATTTCTTGTAATCAGTTTTTTTGACTTTCTAAAGCCGAAATGATGCCGTAGAATTCTGTACAAAATCCTTTAATTGCACCAAAAAAGCTAAATTGCCTAAGTTGCTCTTGTGATTTAATAATACAACCGAGATTACAAAGTAATTGTGACACATGATAGAAATCAAAATTATGAATTTTCAAAGCAGTAATTTTCCTAGTATTTTTTGCCAAGATTCCAAATAATATAATAGCACTTTCATAGTTATAGGATAATAACGTGTCCAAAGATAAACTTTGGAGTCGTGAGAATAATTGCTCATTTTGTTCTAATACACAAAGGATCTCTGGCTTAATAATTTCGGAAAATTCTATATATAATTTGTGTAAAGTGGCACTCTTGAAAAATAATTTAGATAGTAAATCATTTATACAATCCTTCAATGAGCCGAGATATTGATATTGAATCAGATTTATATCCTGGGAATCGATCCAAATTTTAACCTTGACTTTTAGACTGAATATATTGAGAACCTTTAGAAATCTTGCATAATCGAATAGCGTTTCGGAAATTCCTTATTTATTCCAAATTTTTTTAAACCGAATTTTTCATCTTCACTAAGAGAAGAAATAAACCCAGAAATGAATGAAGTACTTTGTTCGAATGAAAATGGATCTTGCCAAAGAAAAGGAATTGACATTTTGCACCAATGTCGGTTCACAAGTGCGCAAGAGTATAAGGTTTCAATTTCATTATTTAAATTTTTAAGAATATTTTCCATTAATTCGGCATATCTCCTGTGAATATTTTTGATGCCATTAATTTGCTGTATTAAACGTTATCGTTATCGTTATCGTTCTGAGAAAGGATCAAGTCTGTTATTGTTACACGTATAGGTATTTATATTGTTAGGTAACGATAATGTACCCCTAAAAATTGATTTCCCCTATAATTTTTGACCAATCAAAATTTAAAATCATTCACAAGAAACATTTTAACTAGATAGAAGAAGGTGATTTCTTAATTAAAATTTTGACAATATTGGTTCCATTCTTGAAATTTGATTTGCCAAAATCACGGGATGAACCAATTTTTATAAGTGTGCTAGGATCGATTTCCGTTCACATGATTTTCAGTCCAATTTAAGATCAAGATATGATGCAATGATGTGAAATTGGCATATAGCGTTAATTAATGATCATCAATTCTCTAGTGTGTGTAGAATTAATTCTACATCACTAGTCCTACCTCACTTTGAATAATTTATTAATTTGTTAAAAATAATTGATAAATTCCCATCGCTAGTACTGTATATCGATTTAAATACAATTATTTTAAACAAAATGGAGAGCCAAAAATCATTCGTTTTAGGTTGAAAATATCAGTTTGGTATAGAGATTAAAAAGAATTTAGTAAATGCATTTGAATATTATAAACAAGCATCTGATTTAGGGGATGGAGAAGGATTATTTCAGGTTGCAGAATTCTATCATTTAGGCTTTTATGTTATGAAAAATAGAAAAAAAGAATTTGAATATTTCCTAAAGTCAGTAGAAACCAATTATGATATGGGAATATGGAAGACAACTCTATGTTATCATTTTGGATACGGCATAAACATAAATTATGATTAATCCGAAGAATGGTTAAGAAAAATCTAATTTCCTGTTCAACATTTAGCTCATTCTTGTTCTAAATGTGTTTTTCGGTTGCAAACCGATGAATACTATGAATCAAGTGTAAATTATCTCGATTGGTGTATTTTGTACGATACTGATGATTTTATTCAAAATTGGACAAGTGGAATGAAAGTTTGTGACGATTATATTAAAAGGTTTCAACTCAAAACTCTATATTTAAAGCGTATGATTCATTGATATCCGTTTGATGAATTAATTGGTGATCCACCAGTCAACCAGAGAATGATCATAGTAAAATGTGACTCAAATTACTTATAAAAATCAGGGGTCTTCAAATGTGGCGTGCGCGCATCTAAAACTTTTTTTTATACTAAGTTAATCACCTTTCTAACTTAAGAGACTTTTGTAGAGCTTGTCAAGACGCATCTAATGGTGATTAGAGCAGCTTGGTGGGTGCCGAGATATCTTTAAAAAACGTTTCTTTTACTATGTAAACTTCTTTGCAAACAATAGTGTTGTTTGCAAAGAAGTTTACATAGTAAAAGAAACGTTTTTTAAAGATATCTTGGCACCCATCAAGCCGATTTTGACACTCTAACCACCATTGGATGCATCTTGACAAGCTCTACAAAAGTCTCTTAAGTTAGAAAGGTGATTAACTTAGTATAAAAAAAGTTTTAGATGCACGCACGCCACATTTGGAGACACCTAATTTTTATAAGTAATTTGAGTCACAATTTACTATGATCATTCTCTGGTTGACTGGTGGATCACCAATTAAAAACATTGAAGTAATCGGTAAAGGAGGTTTTTCGATAGTTTACAGAGCATCTATAATTGAAGAACGTTGGGTTACTAAACATTAGAGTACTGTTACATCTAAACATTGTGGTACTGTTGCACTTAAGTCTCTATCTCTGAATGAATTAGAAAGTTTTATGAAATTAAATGCGTCAACTACTTTTTTTAAGTTATACGGATTAACTCACAACAGTGAAACAAAAGAGCACATGATGGTATTTCAGTATGCAAATAATGGAAGCCTTGCTAAATTTTTAAGAACCAATTTCAGGAACTTTGTTGGAAAGATAAATTAGAGATGTTTAATCATATTTTATATAATTTAAGTGAAATACATAAAATAGGATTAATTCATGCAGATTTCTATTCTGGAAATATTTTGCAAGATCATGAATTGTCTTACATCTCTGATCTAGGAGTGTCAGAATAAAAAAAATGAACTACTTTATCAAACGAAATTTATGGTGTATTACCTTATGTTGATCCCGAAATCTTACAAGGTGAACCGTTTACTCAAGCCGCGGATATCTATGGATTCAGCATAATAATGTGCAAACTAACTCAAACTCAACTATATATTGCATTTATTAGAATGGTGAATAAGTTCTGCAACAGAACACTATTTATATTAATACAAGAAAACATGATAATTCCAATATACCACGTCTTAATCAGAATAGAAAGTAATAGCTCTTTTAGTAGCACATGTTAATTCAGTGAAGCTAATTCAACATTATTTGCAGTTACCAAAATTACGAGTAAGTTCTAGAGATGGGTTCGGTTATGACTATAGTCAACTATTAGTCATAGTCGATATTTAGCCAACCGACTAAAACTGTAGTCGATGCCAGATTTTTAATGTTTTAGCTAATAAAAATGATAATTAATACTTAACTTGACATGAGACCATATCAGTGGGTCTACATTATCAGACAAATAGAGAAATTCATCATTCAAATTTTCTGATCAAATTTGCAGATTGTTTGGCCAGATCTAAAATAACCCAATTTTAATCTCGTCAAATGATCTGCAAGACAACTTAACTATATTATAGTCAATGGAATAGCGAGTAAGTTCGGTAGTATAATTTTTTTACTGTAATTCACAATTTAAAAAAACTATAATAATGATGCAAATCAACTTAATTTTACTGCGGTCATCGAAATAACAAGTTCTTATTTACAATAGGAATTATGATTATTCTGATGCAAACTAATTCACCTTAATCGCATATTGTGGTTACTGGAAAGCAAGTAAAGCTTTGTAGCAGAATTTTTCCGGTACTTCATAATAAGATGATGTTAATTTGATATAAACTAACTCAAATTTATTTATATACTTATTAGAAATAACAATAATTATGATGCAAGCTCAATCACTTATTGTAGTCACATATTCCAGTGATAGATAAATGATAAATAAATAGTATAATATATAATGCCTTGTAATGAGAAGTAATATAGAATATTTAAACAAAAGTAAAAATGAATTAAACAAAAAAATAAGGCAATAAGTTAGCTACTTAATTACATAACCTGAAGTGTATAAAAATGTTTACAAATAATAATACAAAATAACAAATAATGTGAAAGCCTACAAAATAAACACCAAACAATTTCTCATCATTAATACAAATCTTTACCGGCTCTACTATAAATTATAATATGAAATTGATAAAAATTTGAGATAAGGTTTTTATCGGCTGGCTAAGCCAGCCAATAAAAAATTCGGCCTAATGGCTAAAGTAAGCCCAAATTTTTACTTCGAAAAATCGGAAATTACTCCAATTTTTTTCTTAACCTTGCTCGTCTTTGATGTTAGTCACTTTTTCTTCGGAAATTTTCGGATCCTTGCTTTCTTTTATTTAATTCTGGCTGACATTATCGTTCTGGCCTAAATTATACTACCAAAATTCATGTGGCCTTAAGCCGCATTAGCCAGCTTATCATATTACATCGGCTGGCTTAGCCGGCTAAGCTGCTTTAGCCGCGGCTGCCCCAGCCGGCTTGTAACACTACTTCACTACAATACGATATAGTATACTCTATTCTAACTCCCTTTAAACAACTCACGCGCTTAGTTATTTATAATAATTTTTATTTAAAAATAAAATTTAAATCTAAATATATATTATTAAAAAATTAAATAAAATTTAATAAAAAACTTTTTTAAAAAATATTATATAACATTTTGCAGACAATTTTGCCTGCATATACTTTACAAATAAAGAGATATACTGTTTTGTCTTTAATTTTCTTATAATGAATTTTAATTGTTCTTTCCTATACCAAATTTTATTCATTACATAAGAAATAAACATCAAAATTTATTATTACTATCTGTGATAAGTCCTTTAAAAATTTGACAATTAAAGTTTATGCAATCTACACTTCCAAAGGACTTAATTCGATAAATACAAAGACTTCAACATATATTTATAATATTTTTATACATTATACTGTATACTCAAAAAGCATTATACAAAGCGCTCAACTTCATAGATGACATTGAACTCCTTCGATATAGTGAATCCCTTATTAATTTTCAATTTGTTCAAGTCTAATTATGATAATAATTATTTCGCTTTATGTAAATCATAGCAATATAATATAGAGAAAACTTATTAATAAATATATTATAACATAATTTAATCCATATTATGTGACTTATAAACAATTCATTTATTAAAATTTTTCAATTATTCATCCGTTATTCATTAATTCTTTACAGAAGCTTAATATGCAGTAACTGCATAGTAACGACGTAGCTACTGCGCATTAAGAGATTAAAGTTTCTATATAGTTTTTTTTTAGAAAACTATTGCATAATAATTATAAACGATGAATTATTGTTTTAATCATCATAATACTAAATTTATCGAACCATTATTTTATTTATAAGCATATTAAAATATCGCATTTAAATTTTCTAACTAATGCTAATTTACTGTATTATGTTTAAAAATTATAAAAGATTTCTAAAAATTAACAATTAACAATGATTTGTCCAACTCGTACTAACATAACATATTCATCCACTTCTTTTTTAATATTATCATCTAAATTCGAATAATCCTCCAAACCCACATAATTCAGAGTTCTTTTTCGTTTGCAGAATTTGATTAGCGCTTTACTATGTTTCTCGTTATCAAGGTGATAAATTATCAACTTTTTTAAAGGTGCATTGCAATAATTGAGAAAAGTATCAATAAATGAATTTAACCAATCATCTCTTAAGTCAAGATAATGCAATGTTAATGGCAATATTTCTGCAAACTGCTTAACTCGTATTTTTAGTTCTTCATCTGGTATGTTAATATTACACAATAATGTGAGAAATTGAAGTTTTTGTAAATTGCCAAAAAGCTCCAGGAGTTGTGTGGAAAATTCAATATTCGTAATGTGGAGATACGTAATATTTGGGCAGAATGACTTAAGTGCTTCTAGAAATATCGATTCATCCAAAATTTCATCTTCTGGATTAAATGTTAATCTTTGTAGTAGTATGCCGGACTTTTCTAAAATTGATGCTATAGTCGATGCATCAGCCCTACAATCCATAATCTCTAAAATGGTGATGTTATAATTTAACTTTTTCAACAATTTCATATCGCAATCACTGAAACGAAGAATTTCTAATTTTTTAAAATTTTTCAGTATCTCGAATTCTGCACTATAACTACAATAATCTAACACAATTTCTTGTAATGAGTTTTTTTGACTTTCTAAAGCCGAAATGATGCCGTAGAATTCTGTACAAAATTCAATAACTCCACCAAAAAAGCTAAATTGCCTAAGTTGCTCTTGCGATTTAATAATACAACTAATAGTGCAAAGTAATTGTGGCACATGATAGAAATCAAAATTATGAATTTTCAAAGCAGTAATTTTCCTAGCATTTTTTGCCAAGATTCCAAATAATTTAATAGTACTTTCATAGTTATGGGATGATAGAGCACCAAAAGATAAACTTTGGAGTCGTGAGAAAAATTGCTCATTTTGTTCTAATACGCAAAGGATCTCTGGCTTAAGAATTTCAGGAAATTCTATATGTAATTTGTGTAAAGTGGCGCTCCTGAAAAATAATTTAAATAGTAAATCATTTATACGATCCTTCAATGAGCCGCTATATTTTTCAAAATCAATATCCTGGGAATCGATCCAAGTTTTAGCCCTGACTTTTAGACTGAATAT